TTGATGGAGGTCACCAGCGCGTCAGCTGCATCGATGTCCACGCCGCTGCCGGCGTACGTCAGTGGCCTGGGGCGGGGGGGGGGAGATGGGGGATGGGAGGGGTGCAGGGACATCATCGTCACCACTACCATCACCACCATCGTCACCACCACCATCATCATCACTACCATCACCAACATCACCACCATCACCACCAGCATCACCACTACCACCACCATCATCATCACCACCACCACCATCATCGTCACCATTACCATCACCACCATCGTCACCCCCATCGTCACCACCATCATCACAACCATCACCCCCATCATCACCACTACCACCACCATCATCGTCACCACTACCATAACCACCATCGTCACCACCACCATCATCACCACTACCATCACCACTACCAGCACCATCATCATCACCACCACCATCATCATCACCACTACCATCACCACCAACATCACCACTACCAACACCACCATTATCACGACCATCACCACCAGCGTCACCACGACCATCACCACCATCGTCACCACGACCATCACCACCATCGTCACCATGACCATCACCATCATCACCACTACCACCACCATCACCGTCACCACTACCATCACCACCATCATCATCACTACCATCACCACCATCATCACTACTACCACCACCGTCATCATCACTAGGAGATGTTAACTCCCTCGCCTGGTGTGCAGGAGGTCGTGGGTTCGATCCCGACCCTGACGATGCCTGCTGTGTATTTGTAGTCTCTCTCGTCTCTCTCTCTCTCCCCGTGGTCTGGATCCTCGGGTTTTTCCCTCCGCATTTAGAATCAACATCACCACGCGTTTAGAGAACGTGGATGCTGCTATAAATGTCCACATGATGATGACGACGACGACGATGAGTCACTTGGTCGAGCTATCATTTCTGACACCCAGGTGGTCGCTGCTGAAAAAGAGCCGCACAGCCGGGCGAGCGCTTACCGGTAAAATAGAAAAGTAGTTTAGTTAATCGTCACCGATCCGCATAGTTATCGACGCGAGGGAGGAACCAGAGGTCGCAACCGGGTACCTGATACCCGTACCCTACCCGACCGGGTACGGGTACCAGTTTGCGACCCTGGTGCGGCCGGGTACGGGTACGGGTAGACCGCGAGTCACTGGTGAGTAACCGTTTGTCACTCATTTCCCAACGTCTTGTCTCTTCTCACAATTCAAGTTCCTAGAATCAACCCACCCGCGCCTGCAACATGGCTTCATCCCAGAGGTCGCAATCAGGTACCCGATACCCATACCCTACCCGTACCCGGCCGGGTACGGGTAGGGTACTGGTACGGCCGGGTACGGGAGCCGTTTGTGACCCTGGTGCGGCCGGGTACGGGTAAGGAATCAAAACCCGTTTGCGACCTCTGGGAGGAACGTCCCGGATGTCTCACGGTAGTAGTGGAGCGGCCTCCCGGGCCCCCTCGGCGAGGCCTCTGTGCGCGATGTCGCGCCGGTGGAAGGCGCCCTGGAAGTGGATCGCCGCGACCCCGGAGGTCGCGAGGGTCAGGGCGGCGCGGAGGTCGTGACCCACGGCCGTCACGGAGAGGACGCGGCCGCCGCTCGTCACGAGCTGCTGCCTCCAGCCGTCGTCGTCATCGTCGCCTCCTCCTCCTGCTGCTCCTGCTGCTGCTCCTGCTGCTGCTGCTGCTGCTGCTGCTCCTCCGCCACCCGCCGCTCGCGTCTTGGTGGCCCCGTGGAAGACGAGGCAGCCCAGCTCTTGGGCCCGGCTGATGCCTGCGGCGAGACAGGGAGAGCGAGAGAGATGGGCAGAGAGAGATGGAGAGCGAGAGAACGCATCTCGCTATCACCACCAGCGCGTTAAACGAGGCACTTACCCTGCCGATGTTTTGTATTACGTCAGAGCTGTCGTTATCACGGAGACAGAGGGACCAGAGGCGGTTGCCACGGCAGCAGTTATCGCGGTTGCCGTGGCGACGGTCGCCCCCAACGCCTCACCTGTGATGGGGAATCCGGTGGGCGCGTCGCCCGGGTAACCGCGGCTGGCCATCACCACGGTGACGGCGGAGCGCCCGCTCCACCACTCGACGCGCTCGTCGGCCAGGGAGCCCCCGCTCCCGCTGGCGCACGCACGCATCACGGCGTACACGTCCGACTTGAGCAGCGGCAGCAGCACCTGCGGGGGGCGTGGAGAGGGGGGTCAAAAGGTCGTCGAGAGGTCGTCATGGAGGTCATCCCAGGTTCAGGAGCGCGTGGGTGAGTGAGCGGGTGGGTGAGTGGGTGGGTGAATGGGTGGGTGGGTGAGAAGGGTGAGTGAGGGAGTGCTTGGGTGGGTGGGTGAGTGAGGGAGTGCTTGGGTGGGTGGGTGGGTGAGTGGGTGGGTGAGTGGGCGGGTGAGTGGGTGGGTGAATGGGTGGGTGGGTGAGAAGGGTGAGTGAGGGAGTGATTGGGTGGGTGGGTGGGTGCGTTAGTGGGAGACTGAATGAGTGGGTGGGTGAGTGAGTGGAGGGCGACTGCCTCCGACTGCACTGCAGCATCCCCCACAGGGGTCAATCTTGACACCGCTGGTACCGGTCATCGGCAAGTCCACTCAGCTCCACATCCTCCTGTACCACATCACTCCATCTCTTCTCTAGCCCGTGCCGCGCCCGTTTAGCCCCCTCGATCCGGCCGAACAAAAGCTCTTTAGGCATGCGGTAACTAGGCAAGTGGGCTACGTGACCCAGCCTTGCCTGCCGGAGGAGCTCACTGATGATGGGACTGTGTCCAGATCTCTCAGGGATCTGTGAGCTCCTCACACAATCCAGCCTGCAGGTTAAACCCAGGATGGACCAACCCCAGCCGCCTTTGTCTCCCCAGTGGCGAGATGTTTATACAAAGCACCAGGTACTCAATTTGAGACCCAGACGACACAGGGGAGGCTCAGGACCGGTTCAGAAAATTGTCTGAACCGGTCCCGAGCTCGTTATCGCAGCGCACTAAACTGCTGCGCCACCGCTCCCCACGTGTGTGTACACACGCACGTGCACGCGCACAAAACGCGTGCGTGCACAAAACGCGCACGCACAAAACGCGCGGAAGTACACACCTGGCACTCGGGATCTCCAAAGCGACAGTTGAACTCCAGAACTTTGGGCCCGGCCTTGGTGAGCATCAATCCAGCGTAAAGCACGCCTGCACACGGACAAACGCGCGCACACACACACACAAGCGCTCAGGGATTTAAGCTCCAAGAGCAATGAACACGGCAGCTGTGGCTACCGCCAATGGCAGCTGCGGTGGACGAGCGTATACACGGTGTGTGTGTGTCTGTGTGTGTGTGTGTATGTGTGTGTATGTGTGTATGTGTGTGTGTGTATGTGTGTATGTGTGTGTGTGTCTGTGTGTGTGTGTGTGTGTCTGTGTGTGTGTATGTGTGTGTATGTGTGTGTGTGTCTGTGTGTGTGTGTATGTGTGTGTGTCTGTGTGTGTGTATGTGTGTGTGTGTATGTGTGTGTGTATGTGTGTGTCTGTGTATGTGTGTGTATGTCTGTGTGTGTATGTGGGTGTGTGTTGGCAGGGTGGAGGAACTGGGGCAAGGGTCACGGAAGACACCATCTGGAGGCGTGGCCAGGGTGGAGCCAGGGTGGAGCCAGGGTGGAGCCAGGGCGTGGCCAGGACGCGCCGAGGGGGATAAAAGCAGCGGAGAGCTCGGGGCTGCCGGTGCTGGGGGTGGTCTCGTCTCGTCGTCGCTGTCGTCTTCGTAGATATTGCGCGGCCAGACAGTCGTTGGCTGTCTCGGTCGACGCCGTCGGCGCTGCTACGGTTCCGTCGGCGAGTAACGACGTCGTTTACAAACAATGGCGACGTGCAGACGTCACGGAACGGGGAAGGGTTTAACAACAACAACAACAACAATAAAAGTGCTTCACCAATGTAGGGGTTCCCTTCCTCCATCATCCCGTCCACCGTCCTTTGCAGCACGCAGCGCTGCACCATGGACAGCAAGTCCGCCGAGACCTGGAGAGAGGAGCGCACGCGGAGACGCGTCACCACGCGGAGACACGTCACCACGTCACCACGCGGAGACACGTCACCACGCGGACACACGTCACCACGTCACCACGCGGAGACACGTCACCACGCGGAGACACGTCACCACGTCACCACGTCACCACGCGAAGACACGTCACCACGCGGAGACACGTCACCACGTCACCACGCGGAGACACGTCACCACGCGGAGACACGTCACCACGTCACCACGCGGAGACACGTCACCACGAGGAGACACGTCACCACGTCACCACGCGGAGACACGTCACCACGCGGAGACACGTCACCACGCGGAGACACGTCACCACGAGGAGACACGTCACCACGAGGAGACACGTCACCACGTCACCACGAGGAGACACGTCACCACGTCACCACGTCACCACGTCACCACGCGGACACACGTCACCACGAGGAGACACGTCACCACGTCACCACGCGGAGACACGTCACCACGAGGAGACACGTCACCACGTCACCACGCGGACACACGTCACCACGTCACCACGCGGAGACACGTCACCACGCGGAGGACACGTCACCACGCGGAGACACGTCACCACGAGGAGACACGTCACCACGCGGAGACACGTCACCACGAGGAGACACGTCACCAACGCGGAGACACGTCCACCACGTCACCACGCGGAGACACGTCACCACGTCACCACGCGGAGACACGTCACCACGTCACCCCGCGGAGACACGTCACCACGCGGAGGACACGTCACCACGTCACCACGCGGAGACACGTCACCACGCGGAGACACGTCACCACGCGGAGACACGTCACCACGTCACACGCGGGAGACACGTCACCACGCGGAGACACGTCACCACGTCACCACGCGGAGACACGTCACAGCGCGGAGACACGTCACCACGTCACCACGCGGAGGGACCCGTCACCACGCGGAGACACGTCAACCACGCGGAGACACGTCACACGCGGAGACACGTCACCACGTCACCACGAGGAGACACGTCACCACGCGGAGACACGTACCACGTCACCACGTCCACCCGCGGAGACACGTCACCACGTCACCACGAGGAGACACGTCACCACGTCACCACGCGGAGACACGTCCACCACGTCACCACGAGGGAGACGACGTACCACGTCACCACGTCACCACGTCACCACGTCACCACGCGAGACACGTCACCACGCGGAACACGTCACCACGTCACCACGCGAGACACGTCACCACGAGGAGACACGTCACCACGTCACCACGCGGAGACACGTCACCACGCGGAGACACGTCACCACGCGGAGACACGTCACCACGAGGAGACACGTCACCACGAGGAGACACGTCACCACGTCACCACGAGGAGACACGTCACCACGTCACCACGTCACCACGTCACCACGCGGACACACGTCACCACGAGGAGACACGTCACCACGTCACCACGCGGAGACACGTCACCACGAGGAGACACGTCACCACGTCACCACGCGGACACACGTCACCACGTCACCACGCGGAGACACGTCACCACGCGGAGACACGTCACCACGCGGAGACACGTCACCACGAGGAGACACGTCACCACGCGGAGACACGTCACCACGAGGAGACACGTCACCACGCGGAGACACGTCACCACGTCACCACGCGGAGACACGTCACCACGTCACCACGCGGAGACACGTCACCACGTCACCACGCGGAGACACGTCACCACGCGGAGACACGTCACCACGTCACCACGCGGAGACACGTCACCACGCGGAGACACGTCACCACGCGGAGACACGTCACCACGTCACCACGCGGAGACACGTCACCACGCGGAGACACGTCACCACGTCACCACGCGGAGACACGTCACCGCGCGGAGACACGTCACCACGTCACCACGCGGAGACACGTCACCACGCGGAGACACGTCACCACGCGGAGACACGTCACCACGCGGAGACACGTCACCACGTCACCACGAGGAGACACGTCACCACGCGGAGACACGTCACCACGTCACCACGTCACCACGCGGAGACACGTCACCACGTCACCACGAGGAGACACGTCACCACGTCACCACGCGGAGACACGTCACCACGAGGAGACACGTCACCACGTCACCACGTCACCACGTCACCACGCGGAGACACGTCACCACGTCACGAGGAGACACGTCACCACGAGGAGACACGTCACCACGAGGGGACACGTCACCACGTCACCACGCGGAGACACGTCACCACGTCACCACGCGGAGACACGTCACCACGCGGAGACACGTCACCACGTCACCACGAGGAGACACGTCACCACGTCACCACGTCACCACGTCACCACGCGGAGACACGTCACCACGAGGAGACACGTCACCACGTCACCACGCGGAGACACGTCACCACGTCACCACGTCACCACGAGGAGACACGTCACCACGTCACCACGTCACCACGCGGAGACACGTCACCACGTCACCACGCGGAGACACGTCACCACGTGACGCGTCACCACGAGGAGACACGTCACGGTCGCGACGCGTCGGGGCGGCCAGAGCGCAGCGAGTTGGCACAGGAGGAGGCAACACCCGGCGGCCCACGGCGCCCGGGTCTGCCCCGTGACCTCCTGCCAGCGGGCGTTCGACACTTCACGTGGCCTCAAAGTGCACCTGGCCTGGCACAGGCGCCGTGGTGACGTCACCGCCACTTAGCGGCGAATGGCGGTTGTTGTTTTTCGTGTGTACGTGTGTGTATGTGTGTGTGTATGTGGGGAGCGGTGGTGCAGCGGTTAGCGCGCTGCGCTACGAACCTGGCGACTCGGGTTTGATTCTCGCTCACAGCCAACACCGGTGACGATTATCTGAACCGGTCCTGGGCCTCTCCTAGGTAGACTCAGCCTTAAATGAGTACCTGGCGCGGTGTGTAAACATCGCCACGGGGGAGACAAAGGCGGTCGGGCGTGGTGCTGGCCTCCCACCCCCTCGTGTGCCGTGCCGGCCTTCATAGGTGCTGCTCGCTAACAGCACTTGCCCCTACAGTCTGTTAAGGCTACACGGGGGATCTTTGCGTGTGTGTGCGTGTGTGTGTGTGTGCGTACCTGTGGGGTGGGGGCGTAGGCCCCCATGCCCCCCGTGTTGGGCCCCGTGTCCCCCTCCCCCACACGTTTGTGATCCTGGGCCGGTGGCATCATCACCACGGAGCGGCCGTCGGTGAAGCACATGCACTGCACACGGGCACAGACAAAGGGCACCCGGGTAGCACACACAGGCTGTCGGGGCAAGTGGCGTCAGCGGAGGCCGGCACAGCACACGAGGTGGTGGGTGGACAGCACCACGCACGGCCGCCTTTGTCTTCCCCAGTGACGATGTTTTTACACAGACACACACACGCAGACCCACACACACACGGACACACACAGACACACACACACACACACAGACACACACACACACAGACACACACACAGACACACACACACAGACACACACACACAGACACACACACACACACACAGACACACAGACACACACACACACACACAGACACACACACACACGGACACACACAGACACACACACACACGGACACACACAGACACACACACACACACAGACACACACACACACACAGACACACACAGACACGCAGACCACACACACACGCAGACCCACACACACACGCAGACCCAACACACACGGACACACACAGACACCACACACACACACAGGACACACACACACACAGACACACACACAGACACACACACAGACACACACACACACACAGACACACACACACACACAGACACACACAGACACACACACAGACACACACACAGACACACACACAGACACACACACAGACACACACAGACACACACACACAGACACACACACACAGGACACACACACAGACACGCACACACACAGACACGCACACACACACACCAATGCACCAACTCACGCTGATCTCCTCCCCCTCCAGCACCTCCTCCACCAGCACCGTCTCCCCCGCGTCGCCATGCACACGGTCCTGCTCCAGCCACGGGGGGGTGGGGGTCATGGGGGGGGGGGGGGGTGGAGGGTGGGGGGGGTGGGGGCATGGGGGGTTGGGGGTCATTGGGGGCGCGGGGGGGTAGGGGGCATAGGGGCGCGGGGGGGTAGGGAGTATGGGGGGGGCAGGGGGGGGGGTGGGGGGCATAGGGGGTATGGGGGGGTGGGGGAATGAGGGGGTGGGGGGGCATGGGGGGTGGGGGGCATGGGAGGTGGGGGTCATTGGGGGTGGGGGGGTGTGGGGGTATGGGGAGGGAGAATCAGAATCAATATCTCGACTGGGGGAATCCGATGAGCTACAAAGCTCTTTCCCACAGACACACAGCAGGGGCACGGGGTCACACAAGCAGTCCAACAATACAGGAGGGAGTGCAAAGTGCAGGAAAGGTAAACAAGCAACTTGAACACAAACACAAATAAAAACCTAAACCAAGCTAAAGAGCTTCTTTTTCAGAAGCGACCTGGCAATGACAAATGACAGCTCCATCACCATCATCACCACCATCACCACCATCATCACCACCATCATCACCACCATCACCACCACCATCACCATCATCACCACCATCACCACCACCATCACCATCATCACCACCATCACCACCACCGTCACCACCGTCACCACCACCACCGTCACCACCGCCATCGCCATCACTACCATCACCACCACCACCATCACCACCACCACCACCACCACCATCATCACCTTCACCACCACCATCACCACCACCACCATCACCACCATCACCATCACCACATCACCATCATCACCATCACCATCACCACCACCATCACCATCATCACCATCATCACCACCATCACCACCATCATCATCACCACCACCATCACCATGATCACCACCGTCACCACCGTCACCACCGTCACCACCACCACCGTCACCACCGTCACCACCGCCATCGCCATCACTACCATCACCACCACCACCATCACCACCACCATCACCACCACCATCAACCACCACCACCGTCACCACCACCACCGTCACCACCGCCATCGCCATCACCACCACCACCACCATCATCACCACCACCACCATCACCACCACCATCATCACCTTCACCACCACCATCACCACCACCACCATCACCACCATCACCATCACCACATCACCATCATCACCATCACCACCACCATCACCACCACCATCACCATCATCACCATCACCACCACCATCACCACGACCACCATCACCACATCACCATATCACCATCACCACCACCACCACCATCATCACCATCACCACCATCACCACCACCATCACCACCACCATCACCACCATCCCCACCACCACATGGACATGGGCCCGGGAGGGGGGGGGGGGGCCCGCCCGAGGTGGTTGCCACCGGCACCTGCATGATCTCCATGACGACGCGGCAGGCCTCCTCGCGGTCCCTGGCCACCACCACCCCCTTGCCTCCGGCCAGGCCGCTCGCCTTGACGACGAGCGGCGCGGGCTCCGTGCTGAGACAAAGACAAAGATCCCCCGTGTAGCCTTAACACACTGTTGGGGCAAGTGCTGTTAGCGAGCAGCTCCTATGAAGGCTGGAACGGCGCGCGAGGGGGTGGGTGGCCGACACCACGCTCGACCGTACGGAGACACGCACGGAGACACGCGTGGGGACACAGAGACACGCACGGAGACACGCACGGAGACACACGTGGGGACACAGAGACACGCACGGAGACACGCTGACATACTAACAATATGGGCATACGAACACACAAACGGGTGGACACACGGACAGACTGACACACGGATAGACTGACACACGAACACACGGACAGACACATGGCCACATGGCCACACGAACATACGAACACACGAACAGACACACAGACACATGGACAGATCCCTTCTGCGAAGAAGAGAGAACGTGGCATTGTGGGAAACGGCAGCAAGCAGCGACAGGACCGCAGCACCCCCAGAGGGAGAAATGCATCCTGGGCAAAAGTGGCCGGATGAGGATGGGGGCGGCAGTGGGGTTGTGGTGGCAGTCGGAGTGGTGGTGGTTGTGTTGGTGGTTGTTGCCAGTGGTTGTGGCGGTAGTGGTGGCAGTAGTGGTGGTGGTTGTAGCGATAGCGTTAGAGGCGGCGGTTGTGGTGGTGGTGGTGGTGTTGGTAGCTCTTGTAGATGTGGTGGATGTGGTGGCATTGTTTGTGGTGGCAGTGGATGTGGTGGCGGTTGTGGTTGTGATGGGGATGGTTGTGATGGCGGTTGTGGTGGTTGCGATGGTGCCGATTGTGGCGATGGTTGTGGTTGCGGTGGTTGTGGTGGTTGTGGTGGTTGTGGTGGTGGTTGCGGTGGTTGCGGTGGTTGTGGTGGTTGTGGTGGTTGTGGTCGTTGTGGTGGCGTCATACGAGTTGATGTAGGCGCAGGCGGCTCGGGGCTCGGTGAAGGCCTCCCAGCGCGCCGTGGGGATGCCGTGGCGCTCCATGAAGGCCTTGGCGAAGGCCTTGCTCGACTCGAGGCGAGCGGCGCGGGCCGAGGGCCCGAAACAACGGACTCCGGCGGCCACCAGATCGTCACTCACGCCTCGTGGGAGGACGACGATGACGACGACGACGACGACGACGACGACGAGGGTGACATACAGAGAAAAGTGGGGGGGTTGGTAGATGATTCTCACATGAGCACAGGGCCCCCCCCCCCCCACAACGTCGAGTGGCCAGCAACAAGCAGCACTGTCCACGCGTCACAAGCAACGGCGAGCGTTGCGCACGCCTCCGATTGATCGAGCGATTGAGGGAACAGTCGAGCGAACGAGCGAGCGAGCGAACGAGCGAGCGATCTAGAACAATCGCAGGCTCCCCCCCTTGTGCGGGGGGTTGGGGGGGGGGGCGAGGCCTCCTTCCCCCAGCAGCGGCACTTGCTGGGCTGCGCCTTTGCCCCGAGCTGGCGAGGGTTGCAGCAAGACTCACCGGCGGCGAGCGGAGCCTCGGGCCCCACGACCACCATGGAGACGTTGTGGTCGGCGCAGTACTGCACCAGCAGGGAGTGGTTGGCCACCGACACGCCTGTCACGCACGCACACACAACAACACGCATGTAACGCACGCACACACGCACACACGCATGTAACGCACGCACACGTACACACACACACGCATGTAACGCACGCACACACACACACGCCTGTCACGCGCACACACACACACGCATGTAACGCACGCAAACACACACACACACGCATGTAACGCACGCACATGTGTATACACACACGCACGCCTGTAACGAATGCACACGTACACACACACACCTGTAACGAATGCACACGTACACACACACACGCACCTGTAACGCGCACAGACACACACACCGGCAATGCACACATCCAAACAAAGACAAAGATCCCCCGTATATCCTTAACAGACTGTTGGGGCAAGTGCTGTCAGCGAGCGGCACCTACGAAGGCCGGCACGGCGGTCCAAGCACTACGACACGTGGCACTCAGTCCGCTTGCTGTGCCACCGTCCCCTGGCGGAGCAGGGCTACGGCCCCTTCTCCGTGCGCGATCCACCAACCCTCGCTGACGATGCCCCCAAAGCGCCGGCTCACAGCCGCCAGGCCGAGCACGTTGGTAGCAGCGTGACGACAATCACCAGCCATCACCACCATCGTCAATGCCATCACTGTCACCATCACCACCATCATCGTCATCGTCGTCGTCGTCGTCGTCGTCATCGTCGTCGTCATCGTCGTCGTCATCGTCGTCATCATCGTCATCATCGTCATCATCGTCACCATCATCGTCATCATCGTCACCATCATCGTCATCATCGTCATCATCGTCACCATCATCGTCATCATCGTCACCATCATCGTCATCATCGTCGTCGTCGTCGTCATCGTCGTCATCGTCGTCATCGTCGTCACCTTGGTCTTCATCAGGTGCGCCGCCCCCCGTGCCCCCCCCGCTCCCCCCGTGCCCCCCCCCCCGTGCCCCTCCCCGTGTCGGCACCCACCAGAGTTCTCCACCTTGCCGCCGTGAGTGGCGGTGCCCCCGTTGCCGGGGGCGACGATGACCTTCTTGACGAGGGGCGACTGGGCGAGCGTCCCGGCCAGGACGTGCTCCCTCGCCCCCCCTCCCAGCACCAGCACCGTGTCCATCTGCTCGCGCGCACACACACAAGCAAAGGTGCCCCGGGTAGCCTCGACCAGGATGCGGGGGCAAGTGCCGTCGGGGTGCGTGGCTGTCGAAGCGCCATACCGCCTTTGTCTCTCCCCAGCGGCGATGCTCACTGCGCAACGCACCAGGTGCTCGTTTGAAGCTGAGCCGATCTAGGGGGAGGCCCAGGACCGGTTCAGATCATCGTCAGCGGTGTCGGTGGTGGCCGTGAGCAGGAATCGAACTCGGGTATCTGCCGGGTTCATAGCGCTAACCGCTGCACGCGCACGCAGACACGTGCACACACACACGTGCAGACACGTGCACACACACACGTGCACCCACGTGCACTCACGTGCACACACGTGCACCCACGTGCACCCACGCACACACATGTGCACACACATGCACACACACACGTGTACCCACACACGTGCATACACACACGTGCACACACCTCACCTCCTCAACTCCTTGCGTCGATGTCCGCCCGTGCGCAGAAACTCAGCCTCACCGACGCCGCGTCGCTCAGCACAACACTCCTGAAGGCCTGGGACACAGAACAAGGCAGTGCGCGCGTGTGTACGTCTGCGTGTGTTCGCGTGCAAGTGTGCGCGAGTGTGTGTGTGGAAGCACGTGCGTATGTTCGCGTGCGTCTACGCATGCGCTCTGCGCGAGCCGCGCGCGCGAGTGTGTGTGTGTGTACGTGTGTGTGTACGTGTATGTGTGTACGTGTGCGTGTACGTGTGTGTGTAGGTGTGTGTGTGTAGGTGTGTGTGTGTAGGTGTGTGTGTACATGTGTGTACATGTGTGTACATGTGTGTACGTGTGTACGTGTGTGTGTAGGTGTGTGTGTGTAGGTGTGTGTGTGTAGGTGTGTGTGTACATGTGTGTACATGTGTGTACATGTGTGTACATGTGTGTACATGTGTGTACATGTGTGTACGTGTGTGTACGTGTGTACGTGTGTGTGTAGGTGTGTGTGTAGGTGTGTGTGTACATGTGTGTACACGTGTGTACATGTGTGTACATGTGTGTACATGTGTGTACACGTGTGTACATGTGTGTACATGTGTGTACATGTGTGTACATGTGTGTACACGTGTGTACGTGTACATGTGTGTGCGCGTGCGTGCCGGGGGGTGGGCGGCGGCGCCAACTTGGTGCGAGCCGAGAGTTCGATTCCCGCTCACGGCACAACATCGGCGACGATCATCCGAACTGGGCGCCGGACCTCCCCGGGGTCGACTCGGCCTCAAATGAGTACCCGTTGCGGTGAACATTAGCATTGGGGGGGCGGGGGGGGGGGGTGGGGGAGACAAAGGCGGCCGGGGGTGGTCGTGGCCACACCGCGTGCCGGCCTTCGTGGGTGCCGCTCGCCAACGGCACTTGTCCCGGCGGGCCGCGTGGGCTACACGGGCGGGCGGGGGGATCTTTGTCTTTGTTTGGGGATGGGTCGCAAGCCACTTAATTCCGTAACAAGATTGGGCTATAAACCATTGGTGGGGCGCGTCTCCGTAACTCCTCGTTTTATTGCTAGTAAACAATCTACTATGTATATGTCTACGAGCGGCAAGAGGGTAACAACATTCATTCGCCCCGTGGGAGTTCACGGGCCGCGACCTCCCCGTGACCTCTGGACCGGAACTCCGATGGGGACGCCCGTCGAATGGGGGATCTTGATTTGGCGCGCGGAGAATTGGAATCCGATGAGCCACGAAGCTCTTTGTGGCGGAGTGCGTTCCGGCAGGGCAAGGCATCTCTCCCGGAGCACCCTGAACTTTAACGTCTCCCGCCGAGGCACGAGAAGTGACCTCTTCATTGTTTTCTACCGGCCGACATTCTCTCTCGTTCTCCCGCCGTAAAGTTCGCTCCGTGATGACTTTTTCACCTCCGTCGTAATCGTAAACAACGATTGATTTTGACGTGAATGTCCGTTCCCTCGCCACAAGATCCACTTCCTACAAGATCCACTCCCTACAAGATCCACTCCCTACAAGATCCACTCCCCACAAGTCACAACTAGAACGGGACAGGATCAAACATATTTTTGGTTCTTTCGGTAAAGTCACGTAGAAGGGAAATAATAAAATATATATTTATATTGTTAATAATATAATAGTATTTATATTATTATTATTTCCCTTCTACGTGACTTTACCGAAAGAACCAAGGATATGAATCTCTGCAGTCACGAAAGCTTTAAATCAGGATCAAACATGATTATCCTGCCACACTGCTTGCTGCTGCTGCTGCTGCTCCGTTAGCAGCGACAGGACTCCAACTCGTGACACACAGCGGCAATCTCTCAGATCTGGCTCCGAATATTTACCCGCGAGAGAGAGAGGGGGGCGAGCCAGAGATCACGAGACGCACATTCGCCTCGCTGTGAATCCACGCTGCGTCGATGGCGATGGTTACCGTGGCCAATGGTCGCTCTCGTTATGGATTTGGGCCCCTTAGAATATCACGGTCACGAACAAAGGCCTGCTCTCATCAGCATCATCAGCAGTTGCAGAAACAGAATCATCATCAGCAGCAGAATCAGAATCATCATCAATAGCAGCAGAATCAGCATCATAAGCAGTTGCATAAACAGAATCATCAACAGTAACAGCAGAATCAGCATCAGCAGCAGCAGAATCAGAATCATTAATAGCAGCAGAATCAGCATCATCAGCAGTTGCAGAAGCAGACTCATCAACAGTAGCAGCAGAATCAGCATCATCAGCAGCAGCAGAAGCATCATCATCCGCAGAAGCATCATCATCATCATGAGCAGAAGCATCATCATCATCATGAGCAGAAGCATCATCATCATCAGCCGCAAAAGCATCATCATCATCATCAGCCGCAGAAGCATCATCATCAGCCGCAGAAGCATCATCATCATCATGAGCAGAAGCATCATCATCATCATGAGCAGAAGCATCATCATCATCAGCCGCAGAAGCATCATCATCAGCTGCAGAAGCATCATCATCATCATCATGAGCAGAAGCATCATCAGCTGGAGAAGCATCATCATCATCAGCTGCAGAAGCATCATCATTATCATGAGCAGAAGCATCATCATGAGCAGAAGCATCATCAGCTGGAGAAGCATCATCATCATCAGCTGCAGAAGCATCATCATCATCATGAGCAGAAGCATCATCGTCATCATCAGCTGCAGAAGCATCATCGTCAACAGCAGTCTCAGAAGCATCATCATTAGCCGCAGAAGCATCATCATCATCATCATGAGCAGAATCATCATCAGCCGCAGAAGCAACATCGTCAACAGCAGTCTCAGAAGCATCATCATCAGCCGCAGAAGCATCATCATCAGCCGCAGAATCATCATCATCATCATCATGAGCAAAAGCATCATCATCAGCTGCAGAAGCATCATCGTCAACAGCAGTCTCAGCAGCAGCATCAGCAGCAGCATCAGCAGCCGCGGTAAATCCACTGCTGGATGAATAAGCCAAGCCACGATCACGACGACGACGATGTAACGATGCACCGGGCGTCGTCCGTGCCTCTCTCTCCTCGACTCCACAACTGCGAGCGGGATTCACCGATCATCGCTCCGTCTCCACTGTGGCCGTACCCCTCTCTCCCTCTCTCTCTCGGGGACGCGGCGTTCCCCTCTTAAACTGGCTGGCACGTTCTAGCTTTGAAGTTTTCGTGATTGCAAATATCCATACGCTTTGGGTTTTTTGGTAAAGTCAAGTAGGTGAAAACAAAATAAAATAAAACTAAATTAAATCACGACGTTTCAGAAGCTGCCCTCCCCCCCAGTACCCAATATAACAGCGTGTCTCTAAATATCTCTCTTCACACGCTACAGTCATTTTTCTGGAGCAGTCACCACCTGATGACGGATGCTTGTGTTGCTTCCGAAACGTCGAGATTTGATTTGGCTGGCACGGTCTGGCTTTGTTGAATCGATTGATACTTCAACATCTCACGTAGCGGTTTCGGCATTCAGTGTGTCATCAGCAGAGCGGCTTGGAGCAATGCCCATCATCAGTTAGACACAAGAACAACAACGGCACAAACCCAGTGAAATGAAAGATATGACAACGCACGACGTTTCGGGTGAGAGCCCCTGTTAAGTTAACGTTGAGCAGTTGATCCATTGAAGAGTCCCAACCCACCCATTCATTCATTGCGATGCTGATACACGCGGGGCCATGTGATGGTGGTGGTGGTGGTGGTGATGTGGTGATGGCGATGGGGGGGGGGGGGGGGGTGATGGTGGTGGTGATGGTGGTGATAGTGGTGATGGCGGTGGTGATGGTGGTGGTGATGTGGTGATGGTGGGGGTGGTGGTGGTGGTGATGGTGGTGGTGATGTGGTGATGGTGGTGGTGATGTGGTGATGGCGGTGGTGATGGTGGTGGTGATGTGGTGATGGTGGTGGTGATGTGGTGATGGTGGTGATGTGATGGCGGTGGTGATGGTGGTGGTGATGTGGTGATGGTGGTGGTGATGTGGTGATGGTGGTGGTGATGTGGTGATGGTGGTGGTGATGTGGTGATGGCGGTGGTGATGGTGGTGGTGATGTGGTGATGGTGGTGGTGATGTGGTGATGGTGGTGGTGGTGATGTGGTGATGGCGGTGGTGATGGTGGTGGTGATGTGGTGATGGTGGTGGTGATGTGGTGATGGTGGTGATGTGATGGCGGTGGTGATGGTGGTGGTGATGTGGTGATGGTGGTGGTGATGTGGTGATGGTGGTGGTGATGTGGTGATGGCGGTGGTGATGGTGGTGGTGATGTGGTGATGGTGGTGGTGATGTGGTGATGGTGGTGGTGGTGATGTGGTGATGGCGGTGGTGATGGTGGTGGTGATGTGGTGATGGTGGTGGTGATGTGGTGATGGTGGTGATGTGGTGATGGTGGTGGTGATAGTGGTGGTGATGGTGGGGGTGGTGGTGATGGGGGGTGATGGTGGTGGTGATGTGGTGATGGTGGGGGTGATGGTGGTGGTGGTGATGGTGGTGGTGATGGGGGGTGATGGCTGGTGATGTGGTGATGGTGGGGGGGGGGTGATGGGGGGGGTGCATCATCAACGCAGCAACTCGCTCGCAACTCCACTCACCACTCATTCACACTCTCACCATCCTCACCACCCATTCACACTCTCACCATCATCTTCTTGGTTCTTTCGGTAAAGTCACGTAGAGGAAGT